GGTTACGTAAAATTGATTTAACTGATATATATCTTGTTTCTTTGGTAATTTTCCTTTATTGAATATTGGTTTGTTGGAAAAAATAATATTGTTTGAAGGACAATCAAATATTTTTTTACTGCAAAAAGCTCTTAACATTATTGCAGCTACATTGCCAGCATCTTGTGTCCTTTTTGTTTCTCTGAGTTCTGACAAACACACATCTTGTATCCTGTAATGGACCAGGTTGGTTTTAATTTTTACATAATTAAATATGGTTTTTTAGCTTTACATTAAGGAGTATAAATCAGAAAGCTATGCATTTGAATGAAATATCAATCATGCTTGTTGGGCAAACTGAAATTGTCCGGTTTTAACTTTCCTCATTCATCTGAGAGAACCACTGGTGGAAAAACTTTCCACTTCATAATATTGAGATTTCTCTAGCATTACTTAAAAAGTTCCATGTTTCAAAGAAATAACTATATAAATAAAGGTTTCTTGCTAATACGTGTATTATTTCTAAATTCTCAACTACAAAAGTTCTTGATCAGTTCCTTCTGGTTCAAGATGGGAAGCTCTACGGAAGGGATCCTCTCTATGCAGTGATCACAAAAGCTGCGGGATTGCCTGAATCTGCCAAAAACCATGAAAATCAGAAGAACCAATACATTGTGCAACTAGGACAGGTTTGGATGACCATTGTTATGTTATTTGTTTATTTTATAATTCGTCTAATTTTATGTCTCATTAGCTGTTTAAACGTTCTGATTTAGTTCCTACTTCCATGAGAGGCAAAATGTTATAGCTCTGTCATGTATTTTTCATTTTTCTCCACTGTTATAATTAATGGTTTTTAAGACGTAACTCATGTGTAGATGTTTATCTTATGGGATTGATTTCTCGGATAAAGCCATAATAAATTGTCGTATATCAACTCCAAATGCAGTTAGTGATAAATTTGCTCAAGGTACTTTGCACAAATTCTGCATGGCAAAGACGCAAGCTTGGCAAGATTTTACAGGATTGGCGTGTTATCTACATGCAGGTATGTTCATTTTGCCTTTTATGTTCGAAACTTCTCTTCTGTTTGTTTTGCCTTCATCCTTTGAGTTCATTAATAGTGTTAATTAGTTATAAATACAATAGCTAGCTCTTAGGGATTCATAATCTGTCGCACCCTTTAGGAAAGGAAATGTGGGACACTTGAAGATTTATGCTTGAATAATGTTATATTTTATAAAAATTGAAATGTTATATTATTAGCTTGATAAGTTTTCAAATTCATGTTGTTTATCTAACCTATTGTTTATGACTAAAAGATGTTATATGTATTGACCAAGGGTAAGTACCGTAATGTCTTGGGAACAGTGTTATGTAATGAAAAGGCTTCCTTTCCAAGAGCTGCTAATTGATGCTCAGATATGATTTTTGCAAAAATGTAGGGTGAACATTTTTTAAAATCTCAATAGAAAAATCGATTGGCAGTCGGTGAAAAGGAATATTATATTTTTATCTAATAAAGCCTTTTTTTGAAGACTTGAAAGCATTCATAATACATCTTTAACAATGGCATCATGAATGACGATGTTCTTCTATAAATGTTGTTTTGGCAGATGGAGATGGCTTTCAAAAGGGATTTTTCTGAAATATTGAGCATATCAAATGGAGAGGTGTGTTTCAACTTTCTATATTTGTGCATGAGTTAGCCATATCTCTGTTCAATTTTTAGCTCCATCAAACATCAATAACTCTGCTTTCTCTCTTAGGCTTGCTCTATAAAGGAGTGTTAGGTGAATTTATTTTCTTGTGGCATGAACACGTATGCTTAGATTTTAGTTCATGAATTTTGCTATGAGAAAGATATTTAATAATTGGGAAGTAAACAAAAGTTCAACAGGAACCTGATCTTGCAATGGAAGGTGATAGAAAGATAGTTTTCAATCCAATTTCTGTCACCTTCAACCCCCTCACCATTCATTATTTATTACTTTTTTTCACCAACCAACTCCCTAATGACAAACATGCTGTCCTAGTATTCCAAAAATATCTCTAGTATCTGCCTACTAAGTTGTACTATAATTGATGTTGCAACAAATGGAAAAATGAATCGTTTCTCTTCTGTATTGTCCGTTTGTATATATATCAAAAAGGAAGCTTCATATTTGCATATCACAAAGGAAACCTCTTCTCTCTCTAAAACTTAAGCAGATCTAAACTTTTTGCTAGCTGTATTTTCTACTGTTCACTTTTCGCAATTTTATGATACATGCTAGTAATCAAATGGCCCTTTGACAATAGCTGATTTCTTCAGACTTTTAACTTAAGGACACCATGTTGAAGAATAAACGATTTGGTATTGCAGAATGCATGGATGAAGATTTTCCAACACATCCTCGTTTGGGTAGAGGAGCAAACTTATTGGATTTCTACTCGGTTCCTTGTCTTAGGTTTTGAATTAGAGTTGTACTCACCTAGCGAGTATTGCATGGTATATTGGTACCTTTCTGTTGTCTTAATCAAGCTCGTGGAGAAGATACATCTAAGAGCATTGATGAGCAATGAAACTGGTGAGCTCGCTATCTTGTCTACCATGATAGGCACGGTATTTGTCATATTTCTCTAAAATAAACTCAAGGAAATATCCCAGGGAAAAAAAATCCTGTTAGATTTATAGCTTTATAAGGGAACACAAGTTTTGAATATATGAGTACAATTGGGTGGCATTTAAATTTGGTTTTGTGTAGGTTAGAAAATTATGTGAATATAATCAGCCATTTGTTGATTTTTCTTTTGTGTGGATATAGCGCCATTTTAGAACATATTAGACTCTGATTGGCTTTATTCCCATCTTATGTCAATCAGGTAAACGTAAAGGAAAGAAAAAAGGAGCCTCCTCAAAAGATATTGGGAAGGATTTTCGAATTCCACCAGCAGTCTCATTTCTTCAGTGCCAAATATGTCTCGCTGAAGGGCTACTGATGGTAATTATACTCCGTTGTTTGCGTACATTAAATCTTCTTTGTTTATTCCTGGTTTATTGTTTCCTATATTTTAGAAGAATAAAAAGTAATCTGGTAGGCATTTTTCAAATTAAAAAATGGTGAAATTTTGATGATCTTATTTTTTAAAATGAATTTTTCGAGTAGTTTTCATTTCTTAAAAGAAATAATTTAGAGAAAAAGAATGATGAATAGTTTAGAGAAGAAGAAACTAATCTAATCAAAACTTTCAGATGCTTGCTGCTTTGAGGAATGAACATATGATCGTACAGAGTCCAAGCCCCTTCAATAGTGAGTATGAGGTAAGTCTTTCTTCAACTTTATTGAAAGCATAATTATCTGCAAAGCTAAATTTTTGCCGTTCTTTTCAATCAAAGGCTTTGATTGAAAACATTTTATTAAATTTAGTTCAAATTACAAGCTACATACTCTTCTGCAGAGATTCTTTCAACATTTTGAGCTTCTACAGAAGGCTTGCATTCCTGACAATATCACATTTGATTCATACGAGCAATCAACTCGATTGGCTCGCATTTCTGTGAGTATTCTAAATGTTTCCAAAGTAATTCAAATATGTAACATTTTCGTGGAAAGACTCAACTATCCCTTTTGCCTTACAGAACCTAGTTACATATAATTGCTTCAAGGATGCCCAGAAGATAGCAAAGGAAGTGAAAAGTAGCTTCTCAAACGACCCTGAAAAACTGGCCGAACTCCGAAGGATCGAGCTAGTTGCAGAGCACAACAGCGTCGCCTTGAACCTGATCCACAAGGTAGGGGCCCTTGACCCCTCATTGAAGATTTCATTCGAGTTCAATCACCACCCATATTTTGGCACTGCTCTCGTCAAGAGATCTTGAAGCTTTTTTACTTTATTGGTCTATCTCCCATTTCCGCACATAAAGGTTGTTTAGTTGGAGGTCTTGAAGCACACAATGGTTTAAAAGGTAATGAAATCCCTCCCTCCCTGGTGCCATGAGTGAATTAGTTTATGTATTCTTTTATCTTCCCATTTTCTTTATCATTTGTAATTTATACTCATAAGGTAATAAAACATATAGTTTCAGTTTTGATTTCATTAGTTTCTTTCCCCATTTTTTAAATCATAAAGTCAAAGGTGGGAGGAGAAGTTTGGTAGAATATTATGAACATGTTCAGGGATAATTTATATTTAGAAAGTACGATGTTAATTTTCTTGAAATATATATATATATATATATATATAACATGAATTTCGCATTTGTCGGTGAGCTTTAGGAAATGATATAATGTTCGAACCGACGTTTGGTTTTGTAAGGTGGATGAGCTGTCTGAAGGACCATCTTATTCTTGCACCAAAATTTTCTTTTTTCTTTTTTATTTTCTTTTTCTCACTAATTTCTAAGCAGACTTTCCTTTTCCATTTCTTGTTGGAAGCTTCAAGCTACGTACTCCTCGTCTTTCTGTAATCGGATGTGCTCATCCCCACGCGATTCCATTTCCAGCATAATTTAATGAATTAAAACAGATATTATCAGTTAAATAGTAAAAAATTTAAACTAAGTTTAGTAAAAATAATAATATACTTAAGAGTATGATATATATTTCCAAATTTAAAATTTTAAAACATAAAAATATTATATTTTAGAATTTATATGAATTATTGAATTCAAAATATTAGTATCTTTTCATTGATTGAATTAAACTAAGGAGATAATATTGACAATTAATTCAAATTTGTATGTTAACCTTTTTTTCTCTCGATTAATATGAAATAATTATTTATTTTCTTCCATTAATATATTAATTCACAAATAAACATGACATATTAATGGGTACATTAACTCCAAAAAATTAAACCACCCATGGTCTAATATTTAATTCAATATTTATTCCGAAGTCGTGGATTATGATTCAACACGTGGCAAGATCTCAAGGCAGGGTGCAGGAATGAGATGAAAGAGCGTATTAGAGAATAATTCCCATTTTAACCTCAGTGCAGTACAAATTCTTACATTTCCGTATTTTTCTGACAGCAAAGATTGTAAGAGACAGTTTTAGAGGAAGAAAAAGATGAAAAATAATATTTAAAAACCAGTGGTTTAAGCTCTGTGAGGCCACCATACAGAGCTTCACATTTTCGACTTTGCTTTGGTCACAGGCTATCCTCCAATCGACCTGTCTTCTCTCTTTCTCGATTCATTTTGAGGTATATCAAGTTCTATGATCTTTTATTTGATTCTTATTTTGTGTTGTTCATCTCAGTTCTAAATGTGGATGTGGTTTTGTTTGTGTTTCATTCAATCGTGCTCTACTTGATTAGATCTTTCTATTCAATCAAGTTTTTGTTTGCTTTTACTAATGTATACTTGTTACTACACATTTTTGGCTTAGGTTTAGTGCAGTCTAAGTCGTTCAGTTCGATTCTGGCCTCTCCCGTTTTGAGCTTATTGGCGTTTCATTCTGTGTTTTTAATCACAGAAAATGTGTATTTGTTGATGAATTCATGCCGTATCACTAGTAATAATTGAGAGAATATTGCTTATGGATATGACATTCATTATGATTCTTGACTAGCCTGATGGATGTTTGAATGGTTCCTCTGAATTGGCAGATCAATTGATGGATAATGCTATTAATGAATTGTGTAGGTTTATGAATGATGCAATGTATTATAAGACATTTCTATGAATCTCTCTTTTTTTTTTTTTTTTTTTTTTTTTTTTTTCTTTTTTTTTATGCCAGTGGAACCCTATCAAGTTGCTGAGTTTACTGCTGCTTTGTTAACAGTGAGGGAGAGAGAATGTCAGGTGGGGGTACACAGAACAGCCTTAGAAAAGCTCTGGGAGCTCTGAAGGATACTACCACAGTTTCATTAGCTAAAGTTAACAGTGATTATAAGGTAACTCTATAAGTTCTACTCTCAATGCATCCCAATAGACTGGATCTATCTCATGTTCTTGGCGCGATGTTAAATTCAGGAATTAGACATTGCTATAATTAAGGCAACAAATCATGTTGAACGCCCTGCAAAGGAAAAACATATCAGAGGTGTGTTCCTTGATGCCCTTATCAAGATATATCATTTTCTTGTTCAATTGAATGTGTCAAACTCCTAATCTGAACTTTGCATTTTACTTAATATTTTGTTTCTTGTATCTGGTATTGTAGGATAATAGTCATCATAATACGAAAATAAGATAATTTTGTCTTCTTAAAAGAATTAGATGGTTTTGGACTTTTGCAGCTATATTCGCGGATATTTCAGCAACCATGCCTAGAGCTGATGTTGCATATTGCATCCAAGCTTTGGCAAGAAGATTATCCAAGACTCATAATTGGGCAGTAAGTCTTCATGTTTTGCCGTCAAACATTACAAATCAGTATTCTTTGCAAATCAACTGCTATCACATAAGCTGTATATCTTCCTGCTTCGAAGTTCTACTAGAACATTCAATCTCTCTGTATCTTTTTGAGCTTATATCATCTGTATTATTGCGCAAGTTAATGTGATTTGAGTGCTGGTAAATGCTACATTTGACATTAAGGTCTATCATATTTCAATTCGGTCAACTCTTAGCAAAATCCTGGGAAAGTAAGATTAATAAGAACTTCTGTTGGTCATAGACGTGAAATTGATGGTGTTAAAACCAAGGGTTCCTGTGACTGGGGCTGATAAGCATTTATCTTGCAACTTAAACAAACCTGTAACATTACTATAGAAACTGTTGTGAAGAATAGTGTCGGACTGATTTATGTACTCTAGGCAAATATTATTTGCTGACTACAGTTTTTCCATCTTAATGTAAGACATGATATATTTCAAATTTAGATGGCTTGGGTTTAGATTTCATCTCCAATTAAGATTTGTAATGCTTATTAAATTTGTTTAACGAACTATGATTTCACTGTGTAGGTTGCATTAAAAACTTTGGTTGTTATCCATCGTGCTTTACGGGAAATGGACCCCACATTTCGTGAAGAACTCGTTAACTATGGCAGGAGAAGAAACCACATGCTTAATTTAGCTCATTTTAAAGACGATTCCAGTGCTAAGGGTACCTTCTCTGAGGCTTTAGAATTGAAAAAGACAATTTAAGGAGAATAAAAATCTCAATCTAAAACCTTTCATGTGCTGCATGTAGCTTGGGATTATTCTGCTTGGGTACGTTCGTATGCCTTATTTTTGGAGGAGAGGTTGGAATGTTTCCGTGTACTGAAGTACAATGTCGAGGCAGATAGTGTGGTAAGAAAATACTTTCTTTCTTGAACCTCATCTTGTGTTTGGAGAGTATAAGGCGTAAGAAGTCTCCTTGAGAGGCCCGTCACCAATTCACTTTATCTACTTGCTGTTTGGGTTTCATACAATTGAGAATACTGTTTCAGATACATTTTGGTAGTAATTTTATGGGTAATGGTGCAGAGAACCAAAGATCTAGACACTGCCGAGTTGCTTGAGCAGATGCCAGCATTACAAGAGCTTCTGTATCGCGTACTTGGTTGTCAGGTAATTTATGACACGATTTTCAGGTAGACATATTTATGTCCCAAGGACTAGGTTTTTATTACTGAAAATATTATGTGGTATGGCTTCATTTATAATAGAAAAACATTCAGGATTTTTCCTTATTTTTTGTGGAATAACGTTCAACTTTTCTTCAGCCACAAGGAGCTGCAGTTCATAATTTTGTAATTCAGCTAGCCCTTTCATTGGTAGGAACCTCTTACAATCTTTCATGTACAGTGAAAGATCTTTACTCCTTTGTGGGGTCGATTCTGATCATCCATGTCTTCTATCTTTTTGTAGGTTGCTTCTGAAAGCGTCAAAATTTATCAGGCCATCAGAGATGGTACTGCCAATTTAGTTGACAAGGTAAGAACTGATCTGTTTATCAGATAAGCATATTGTAAATGCAAAAAACTGAAACTAACATGGTCTTAATATTCAGTTTTTTGAGATGCAACCCCAAGATGCAATGAAAACCCTGGATATATACAGGAGGGCTGGCCAGCAGGTATTGGCACCATAATTGCCGTTTTCATCAACTTGTAGTACTTCTCAGGATAAGAGTTGAATAGACATGGTCGTAATTTTCTCCATTTTTGCAGACAGAAAGGCTCTCTGAATTCTATGAAGTTTGTAAAAGTCTCTATATTGGGCGTGGCGAGAAGTTTATAAAGATTGAACAGGTAGTCGCACCATCACCCCCCCCCCCCCCCCCCC